GACCTGAGGTCAGTCCACACAAAAAGTTAATAAGACCCTATCTCAAAAAAAAAAGAGCTGGAGCCAGGTGCCAGTGGCTCACACTTGTAATCCTAGCTACTCAGGAGACAGAGATCAGGAGGATCATTGTTCGAAGCCAGCCCAGGCAAAGAGTTCATGAGACCCTATCTCAAAAAACCTATCACAAAAAAAGGGGGCTGGTGGAGTGGCTCAAGGTGTAGGCCTGAGTTCAAACCCCAGTACCACAAAAAAAAAAAAAAAAAAAAAGCCGGAGAGAGATATGGGGAGCAGATTATGAGAAGCCTATGAGAACCTGAGAAGTAGGAACGGAGGTTTCTCTTGTTACAATGTCACTCCCCTCCCCAAGAACTGTTGCTCTACCTCCTTGATTATCATTGGATATAAAAGACTCGCTGAAGGAGGACGGGAGGTTTTTGATGGGTGATTGATGGAAGGTGTTTTGATGGCAGATGGTTGTTGATTTGATTGATGGGCTGTTTGTGATGCTTGCTGGCTGCTGTGGGTCTCCACCAGAGCAGTTTTCTGCACTGAGAACTTTATACATAGGCTTTAGAAAAGCTAAAGAAAAGCTAAGAGAACATGGGACAGTGCAAGTCTAAGGACCGAGTCTTTAAGAGTTATGCTAATGCAGTTTTTAGACACAGCTGCTGTTTGTCTGCAAGTCTGAGCACCGAGCCTTTATAGGGAACATAGAATAGTGCAAGTCTGAGGGCCAAGACTTTAAGAGAGATTAAAGGGAACATGGGACAGTGCAAATCTGAGGGTCAAGACTTTAAGAAAGCTAAAGAGAAAACATGGGACAGTGAGAGTCTAAGGAAAGAGACTTTAAAGAATAGAAAAGAAGCAAGGTTTTAAAGAATACAGAAGAAAAGAAGCAAAGTAAAAGAAGAGAATAATAGAGAAAAGAAGCAACCAGGCTCCAACACACCAGGCACCCAGCACACCTGGCTCCAACTTTCTGCATGTTTGTCTATTGTTTGTCCTTTCTGCATCTCCAGTCACCCCCAGTTAGGTTCAGTAGTAACAGAGCTTGAGAAAGAGAGAAAGAGAGAAAGTTTGAGAAAGAGAGACAGAGAGAGAGACATCTGGCTTCCAAGCAGTTTATTTCATTGTGATAGTGACAAAAGAGTAAATTGAAGATGGGTGATGTTGAGAAAGGCAAGAAAATTCTTGTTCAAGTGTGTCCAGTGCCATACCATAGAAAAGGGAGGCAAGCACAAGATTGGGTCAAATCTCCAGGATCTACCTGGGTGAGAGACAGGACAGGCTGCTGGATTCTCTTACACAGATGCCAACAAGAACAAAGGCATCACCTGTGGGAAAGGATACACTGATGGAGAATTTGGAGAATCCCATAAAGTACATCCCTGGAATAAAAATGATCTTTGCTGGCATTAAGAAGAGGAGAGAAAGGGCAGACTTGATAGCTTACCTCAAAAAAACTACCAATGAGTAATAGCCACTGCCTTATTTATTACAAAACAGAAATATCTCAAAGCTTTTTTATGTGTACCATAATTTAATCTCATAATATCAGAATTCAGAGTATGAATGGCTGACAGAATATTTTTGTTGGGCAGTTCTGATTTAAGTAAAATTGGCTTCTAGCCAAAAAAAAAAGCTGGAGCTGGGCTCTAGGGGCTTATGCCTATAATGTTAATTATTTGAGAGGATGGCAGTTTGAGGCCAGCCCAGACCCAGATCCCATTTCAATCAATAGCTGGGCACAGTGACACACCTGTAATCTCAAACTATGCTGGAGGCTGATATCAGAAGGATCACAGTTTCAGGCCAGCCCAGGCAAAATAATTTGTGAGACTCCCATCTCGATGAAAACAAGCTGAGTGTAATGGTGTGTACCTGTCATTCTAGGGATGGCAGGAAGCATAAAATAGGAGTATAGGAGTCCAGAGGTCTGAGCAAAAAGCAATTTCCTATCTCCAGAATAACCAGAGCAAAAAGGGCTAGAGGTGTGGTGCAAGTGGTAGATTGCCTGCCTAGCAAGTGCAAAGACCTGAGCTCAAACCCCAGTACCGCAAAAAAAAAAAAAAAACCCAGGCTTGGTGGTGCACATCTGTAATCCCAGCCACATAGGAGGTGGAGGTAGGAAGCTGGCCTGGACAAAAATGCAAGAGCCTATCGGAAAAACAAACTAAAGCAAAAAGGGCTGGAGATGTAGCTCAAGTGGTAGAACACTTGTCTAGCAAGCAAGCATAAGGCCCTGAGTTCAAACCTCAATACCACCAAAAAAAAAAAAGAAAGGTCATGAAGCATTGAAAGGAAAAGACTGAAAGATTAGCTGTCTGCTGTACCATCATACTCACTTCCATCATTCAGTCTGACCATCACTATGATCTAAACACACCTATCCTGACCCACAGAGTGGCTCAAGTGGTAGAGTACCTGCCCAGCAAGCTGTGAGGACATGAGTTCAAACGCCAAAAAAGTTTAAAAAAATAAAATGCCTTTGACAAACACACCTGTCCTTATTGTACAAATGAAGAAATCGAAGCCCAGAGGAGTAAAATAATTTACTCACTGAGATTACACACACTAAGTAAAGAACAAGCCTAGCGGGAAGTCGGAGGCAAGTCATCACAATACGCTGACAGTTACTCCATTCCTCTCAAATCTGTGAGGGAACCCACTACGGCTACCCTAATCTGCAGATACTCAAGTCCCTTACATGAAATGGTATATCCTCTCTTATTATTTAAATCCTCCCTAGATTACTTATAACACATAATACAATGTTAATGCTATGTAAATAGGTGTTATACTGTGTTTAGGGGATAGTAATGAGAAAAAAGTCTGTAAACATTCAGTGAACATGTAATTCCTCCTTTCCCCCAATTTTTTTCCTCAGTTGGTTGAATTTACAGGTTCAGGATCCATGGACATGGAGGGCCCAATGTTTTCAAATTACTTTGCATTCACCTCTATTATGAAATTTGTTTTTTCCCCTTTATCTTTCCTACTCCTAACCCAACTGGACTAAAATACAAGCAAGAATAGAGACTTATCTTTTGATAAGCCCACCACTATACAGGTGCACAGAAAACACGAATGATGGCACTGCCTATTCTTATTTTAACTCTGTAAGAGCACCTAAATAATAACACTAAGCAGCACAACAAGAATCCAGAATTTTTTTTTTTGTAGAGCTAGTGATTGAACTCAGGGCTTTAGTGCTCAGTACTGATCTATGCCCCCAATCCCTCAGAACTTTTTTTTTTTTTTGGTAGGACTTGGGTTTGAATTCAAGGCATTAAGTTCACAAAGCAGGTGTTCTACCACTAGAGCCACACCTTCAGCCCAAGCTGGCCTCAAACCATGAGATCCTCCTGATCTCAGCCTCCCAAATAGCTAGGACCCTCAGAACTTTTTAAATTGCTTACGCTTGATATAACTCCATTTCTATACTGAAAAGTCAATACCAAAAGGGAATAGAACTTCACTGAAAGCAACAGTAAGTCGTTAATGCAGTCCATGGTACCTGAACTTCTCCATGCCTCCGCTTCTCAAACGCCAGTCTTTCCTTGTCTGCCTTCTGTTCCCACTGCAGTTTCTCCAGTTGCTGCGTCATCATAGCTACTTTCTTTCTCACTTGCTCCTTAAGTTCTTTGTAACGATCCAGCTGTGTAAGCAGCATTAAAACATTGCTAACTCAAAAGAAGCATGAGGAGAAACTCTTTGTACAGTACCTTGCATTAGCAGATAATCTTATCCAAAGCTTTTTTTTATATAGATAAGACCATAATTAGCCATTTTTCAAACTTTCCCAGGTAAAATACATGAACATAATATGAAATAATCCTTATTTAAAATGCTTCAGATAGCTAGAGCGACAAGACATTCAAAACAAACTCTCTAAGAAGGTCTGTATTAGAAAATCTTGAAAAAGAGGCAGCCAGCTGGAAATGGTGACCACCTCTATGATTCCCAGCCCTCAGGAGGCTAAAGTCAGATTGCGGGTTCAAGGGTAGCCTGAACTACATAGCAAGACCCTGTCTCAAAAAAATTAAAAAGGGAAATCCAGAGAAAATAATTCATTTTTTCTACTTAACATAGTTACAATTGTTTGGTATATACACTGTGATATAAGATAATCATAAAATTAATGCAAGAGATGAATGATAAAAATATGGTTGAAAACTAAAGATACAGCTCAGCCGTAGAGCATTTGCCTAGCATGTTCATGTCATGGGTTCGATTCCCAGCACTGCAAGAAGACAAAACACTTCTAGCTGGGTAAGGTGGCAACCCTCTATACTGCTAGCACGTGGGAGGCTGAGAAGAGGATCATGAGTTCAAGGCCAGCCTGCACTACATAGCCAAGACCCTGTCTCAAAAAAAATTAACAAAAAAATTTTAGTTGAGAGAATATTTGAAAATTCTCAATTACCTATTTTTGGATATTAACCATTCATTTATTATAATTAAATTTTATATACTATACTAAGTTGAACATTACTTCACCACTGAACATTTTTGGGGGCCAGTACTGAGAGCTGAACTCAGGGTCTTGCACTTGCTAAGCAGGTGCTCTACCAACTGAGTCACACCTCCAGCCCTTTTTGCTTTGGGTTATTTTTCAGATAGAGTCTTGAATTTTTGCCCAGGCCAACCTTGGACTGTGATCCTCCTACCTATGCCTCCTAGCTAGTTAGGATTATAGATGTGGACACCTTGCCTAGCTTATTTGTTGAGATGGGTTCTCATGAACTTTTTGCCTGGGCTAGCCTCAAACCATGATCTTCTTCCTTGATTTTGTCTCCCAAGTAGCTGAGATTACAGATGAAAGTCACTGTGCCTGGCTCCCATCATTGAACATTTTAAATCACTTTAAATAATCACTTTCTCTTCTGTAGATGAAGTCTCTTTGAAGCCACATATATCTGACCTTTAAGTTTTTGTATTATTATGAGAAAAAATTGTTTTACCTTAAAAATAATAACTTAATTACCTAAATTTTATTATAAAATTATACCAGGTTGTTTTCTAGGACTTCTAATCATGAATGTTATAATGCTGCCTAATTATGTAAAGGAAAAACAGCTTAGTCTAAAGATTAAGTTTAGATTTTGTGTACAGGCCAAAAAGTTTAAATTCTCATAATTCATATTAAGAGGATCATCTCTTAAAATATCAGAGAGATCATCCTTTACATCTGTCCTAGTTAAAAGGAGAAATAAACAATAGGAAAAGATGTCCCATATTTTGACATTTTCACCTGACTAGCTTCCAGTTCAATGTCTCGCCCTTTATGTACGATCTCTTCTTCAATCTGTTTTTCAAAATTTCTCCATGCACTATCTAAACCAACCAGCTCTGTCTCCAAGGCTCTTATGTCATCTTCCTGCTTGGAACACTGTTTTTCACTGTCCCTTATTGATTTCTTAGACATGTCCAATTTCTTGAGGTGGTGAGCAGTATTTTCTTTAGCTTTAATGTACTGAGGCCTTTTCTGATTTAAAAGTGCTTCAAGAGATCTAGAAAAGAAAAAAGAAGCTTGCTTTAAAGAAAATTAATTTAACATATAAGTTCTTTTGGTTAAATCACCTCAAAACTAAATTCTAAAAATTAACTTTCAGAGACTGTTAAACAGACCACTGATTGTCCGAGGCTGGGTAAGACTGGGGGAGGGTTGAATAGATAAAGCTTAGTGGGTTTTTTAATAGGTGGTTAAACTATAAATTTGCCAAAATCTGTGGAACTTTCCAGCAACAAGAGTTAACTTTAATGAATTTTTAAATAAATCATGTAGGAGAAAGAGGGAAACTAGATGGGAATGTAAAATGTGACAAAAGAATGAAATTATTACAAATATACTAATGTTATTGAAGGAATGGGAGGAAAAAGTGCTAGTCTAAGTAATCTGGGAGGAAAAAGTGCTAGTCTAAGTAATCTTGAAATTTTTTTTATTGTTTTATTATTCATATGTGCATACAAAGCTTGGGTCATTTCTCCCCCCTGCCCCCACCCACTCCCTTACCACCCACTCCGCCCCCTCCCTCTCCCCCCCACCCCCTCAATACCCAGCAGAAACTATTTTGCCCTTATCTCTAATTTTGTTGAAGAGAGAGTATAAGCAATAATAGGAAGGACAAGGGTTTTTGCTGGTTGAGGTAAGGACAGCTATACAGGGAATTGACTCACATTAATTTTCCTGTGCGTGGGTGTTACCTTCTAGGTTAATTCCTTTTGATCTACCCTTTTCTCTAGTTCCTGGTCCCCTTTTCCTATTGGCCTCAGTTGCTTTTAAGGTATCTGCTTTAGTTTCTCTGCATTAAGGGCAACAAATGCTAGCTAATTTTTTAGGTGTCTTACCTATCCTCACCCCTCCCTTGTGTGCTCTTGCTTTTAGCATGTGCTCAAAGTCCAATCCCCTTGTTGTGTTTGCCCTTGATCTAATGTCCACATATGAGGGAAAACATTCGATTTTTGATCTTTTGGGCCAGGCTAACCTCACTCAGAATGATGTTCTCTAATTCCATCCATTTATCAGCGAATGATAACATTTCGTTCTTCTTCATGGCTGCATAAAATTCCATTGTGTATAGATACCACATTTTCTTGATTCATTCGTCAGTGGTGGGGCATCTTGGCTGTTTCCATAACTTGGCTATTCTGAATAGTGCTGCAATAAACATGGGTGTGCAGGTGCCTCTGGAGTAACCTGTGTCACTGTCTTTTGGGTGTATCCCCAAGAGTGGTATTGCTGGATCAAATGGTAGATCAATGTTTAGCTTTTTAAGTAGCCTCCAAATTTTTCTCCAGAGTGGTTGTACTAGTTTACATTCCCACCAACAATGTAAGAGGGTTCCTTTTTCCCTGCATCCTCGCCAACACCTGTTGTTGGTGGTGTTGCTGATGATGGCTATTCTAACAGGGGTGAGGTGGAATCTTAGTGTGGTTTTAATTTGCATTTCCTTTATTGCTAGAGAAGGTGAGCATTTTTTCATGCGTTTTTTGGCCATTTGAATTTCTTCTTTTGAGAAAGTTCTGTTTAGTTCACTTGCCCATTTCTTTATTGGTTCATTAGTTTTGGGAGAATTTAGTTTTTTAAATTTCCTATATATTCTGGTTATCAGTCCTTTGTCTGATGTGTAGCTGGAAAATATTTTCTCCCACTCTGTGGGTGTTCTCTTCAGTTTAGAGACCATTTCTTTTGATGAGCAGAAGCTTTTTAGTTTTATGAGGTCCCATTTATCTATGTTATCTCTTAGTTGCTGTGCTGCTGGGGTTCCATTGAGAAAGTTCTTACCTATACCTACTAACTCCAGAGTATTTCCTATATCAACTTTAGAGTTTGTGATCTGATATTCAGATCCTTGATCCATTTTGAGTTAATATTGGTATAGGGTGATATACCTGGATCTAGTTTCAGTTTTTTGCAGACTGCTAACCAGTTTTCCCAGCAGTTTTTGTTGAAGAGGTGCTATTTCTCCATCGTATATTTTCAGCGCCTTTGTCAAAGACAAGTTGGTTATACTTGTGTAGCTTCATATCTGGGCCCTCTATTCTGTTCCACTGGTTTTCATGTCTGTTTTTGTGCCAGTACCATGCTGTTTTTATTGTTATAGCTTTGTAATATAGTTTGAAGTCAGGTATTGTGATACCTCCAGCATTTTTCTTTTGACTGAGTACTGCCTTGGCTATTCGTGGCCTCTTGTGTTTCCATATAAATTTACAGGTAGATTTTTCAATCTCTTTAATGAATGTCATTGGAATTTTGATGGGAATTGCATTAAACATGTAGATTACTTTTGGGAGTATCGAACATTTTTACTATGTTGATTCTACCAATCCATGAGCATGGGAGATCTCTCCACTTTCTATAGTCTTCCTCAATCTCTTTCTTCAGAAGTTTATAGTTTTCCTTGTAGAGGTCATCACATCTTTTGTTAGGTTTACACCTAGGTATTTGTTTTTTTTTTTGAGGCTATTGTAAATGGAATTGTTTTCATACATTCTTTTTCAGTTTGCTCATTGTTAGTGTATAGAAATGCTAATGATTTTTCTATGTTGATTTTATATCCTGCTACCTTGCTATAGCTATTGATGATGTCTAGAAGCTTCTGAGTAGAGTTTTTTGGGTCTTTAAGGTATAGGATCATGTCGTCTGCAAATAGGGATATTTTGACAGTTTCTTTACCAATTTGTATTCCTTTTATTCCTTCTTCTTGCCTAATTGCTCTGGGGAGGAATTCCAGTACTATGTTGAATAGGAGTGGAGATAGTAGGCATCCTTGTCTGGTTCCTGAGTAATCTTGAAATTTTTAGGACTAAGCAAACATTGTACTGTAGTTATCAAATTACTTCCCACAGAAATCTGGATTCACTATTTTGGTATTACTACACATGATTACTGGAACTGAAAAATTAAGCAAATGGATGGTAGAAGCTAGGTTCTCAGTGCTGAGAAGAGAGGTTATAGATAAATAAGGGAAGGCCAGAATGTTCCATGTGGTAATGGGTTACAACTGGGAGATATTCATACAAATTCTTGCTTATCTTAATACAGATTCAGATGGTTGCATATAGAAATTTATAACCATGTGTACATACAAGTACATACACACCTGTATTTCCTAAGTCTGTCAGCTGAGAAAGCCTAGAAGCAGACACCCCGGTATTAATGACCATACGCAGTGATGTTGTTTCTTAAAACCATTCTCCAGAAAAATGAGTCAGGACTCCTTGGAGAAATGACTGCTCCTAGGCCTGGGCAGGCTGGTATTAACACAAGTTCAGTAAGTTTGTTGGTGGAGTGGCTAGAGCAGAAGAACACATGTCTAACAAGTGTGAGGCCCTGTATTTGAACTCCAGTACCAAAAAGAAAGGCTAGCGCATACAAGATAAGCCTAAAGTACCTTCTAGTGCCAGTAAGGAAGGAAATGTTAAAAAACAAACAAAAACCAGAAAAATATAAGCCAACTGATGAGGATGTGTCAAAGAGACACAGAAATCAACTCAAAAAGTTCCATGGGCCAAAGCTAAAACAATCTAAGCAATAAATAATGTAATACTGGATTATAACCCAATATAAAATATCCATAAATCCATATAAATAATTGAATGAAAAAACTTCTTGCAGAGAATTCAAAAAATATTATTTAGATACTCAGCCTGCAGGTGGAACCTAACTCCCCCTCAAGTGTAAGTTATTCATAGCAGCTTCCTTCCAAAGGTTATAATATTGAAAGGAGAGAATAACTTTATACTGGAAAAACCTGACCAACACTAGCTTGGTTAGGTGATAAAGATGAACAGGACAGGAACAATAATATCATGTTGATATTGTAAGATACATGTCATTTAACATTTATATGTTAATACCCTGATGTAATATGATGAGAATGGTCTTTTACTTTTAATATTTCTCCCCAAAACCAATTATACCAGTCTAATTACGAGAAAACTATCAGACTAACCTCAGTTAAGGAATGTTCTACAAAAAACCTGGAACAATGCTCCTCAAAACTGATAAGCTCAAGAAAATATGAGAAACTGTCACAGCCCAGAGGAGCCCAAGGTGACAGAAAACTAAATGTAATGTGGTATTCTGGGTCAGAAAAAGGACATGAAGCAAACAATAAGAAAATATGAATAAAGTGTGGGCTTTAATTAATAATGTATCAATACTGGTTTAAGTTTGGCAAATGTGGTATAAGATGTAAGATGTTAATAACAGAAGAAACAGCAGGGGGATACAGGAACACTCTGTACTAGCTTTATAATTTTTATATATATCTAAAGTATTCCAAAATAGAGTCCATTTTAAAAAGTCCACTTTCAAAGTGTTACTTATATTTTTATTTTCTCTGTCAAGCTACATAAAACCCAACTGTTAATACCTATTTTTAAAAACTTACTTCAATTCTTTTTCTGTTTGTTGTAGTTGTCTAGTTAACATTCCATGTTCCTTCTTCTTGGCTTTAAGTATATTTTCATGATGAGAAAGAGACTCTTTTGTGATACTCAAATCCCTGTTCATGTGCTCTAACTCAGTGTTCAGGAAATTGATTTTCTTCTCATTATGATATAGTTGGAAAAGCTGCAGTTGTATCTTGTTTAGTCTCAGTTCTTCAAGGAGACTCTGGTAACGTTCTGCCTATAAAATAGTACAATTCAACGGAAGTTAAAAGGGTTTGTGTTGTAAGTTGACCTTTCATGAACTCAACTACTGTATCACTGATCTCTAATGAATTTTATGTATGCCCTTAAGAAACAACATTCTAGATATGCTAAAACACTGAATGACTTTGTATTCATGTACTCAGTAGCATGGGGGTAAGAACAATGGTGGAGCACCTGCTAACCTGGGTCCTCAACCCATTTTATGTCTTGACTTGTGACTCTGGCAAGTTCACTGACATTGTTGGCATCACTTTTCTCATTTGTAAATTGAAGGAAGAGTGTTATATGACTGTAAGATCCCCAGCAACTTTAAATTCAGTAATTCAGGTAAAATTCCCAATTTAGGAAGTCATTTTTATACTAATAGGGCTATTGCAGCTTTAAATTACACATAAAAAGGAAAAATTTCCTAAACATTTATGCTATTAATAAAGATATAAAGGAATGGGCCACTGCAAGAAGAGTTCCTCGTCAAGTGACATGTAGACAGTATTTCATCTGCCAAGGATGTTGTAAAAATGATTAGGATGCTGGACTATTTTAACTGTAGGCCTACAGTTCTGCAATTCCATAAGTCACTTCAGTACACGTGTAATACTACGGTTGATTTTACTGCTCACCCCTTGTCTCTAACAAAACCAAAATACACATATACATTCAAAAATATGAAGAAACCAGGAAATATTACTAAAAAGGAACATATTCACCTTTATTTATTCGAATATTTATTGTCATGCTCTATGTACTAGAAATATGGCAGAGAACAAAACAGACCATCCCTGCTCTGATAAAGCTGATATTCCAGTTATTTTAACAGAGGAGAACAAAGGAGTCGGAGAATAATAAATAAGCAAACAAAATGTAAATGATTCACACAGTAATATGTGCTACAAAAGAATCAAAATAGGGTAATGTGTTAGCACAAGAGAGGAGATAAATGTACTTAGGGTGTAAAGAACAAACGCCTATGTGAGGAAATGGCTATTCTGAGAAAACTTAAGACAGTGTCTGCCATGAAAAAAATCAGAAGTGTTTATGAGAACTCAGCTGTCTTCTAGTAAGTCAGACATTAAAGAGAGTATAACAATACAAAACAATACTGCTCTTCTAATTAATTTGTTTTGGAAAATGTAGTCATTTTTCATAAAACTAAATTAGTTATGTTCATATGTAATGAGTTTAACTGCTTTTTTTCACATGGACTATTAAAAATATTTTAAAATTTTTGAGTTTTGATTTTAAATACAATAAATACTGGTAAATATAGCCCACATTAACAAAAATGTTTTGGAGCTCTCGATAATTTTTAAGAGTATACAGAAAAAGTTTAAGTGCCTCTGACACATAAGACTGTCCTGTCTATTGGGGAAGAAAAACTCAAAATAGTGGAAGATACATCAAAAAAGTTTCTCTTTAAGAGATATCAAGCCTTATTTGTCTTATATTGTTAAACAAAATTTTCTTGGGAACAGGAAGCTAATACCTATCAATTTTAATAGAAAGCTTTTGGACTAACACTTAGCCAGTCATATCATAAGGACACCTTACCTCTTCTTTTTCTAATTTTGCATGTTTGCGCTCCGCAGCTACATTTTTTTTCTTGTTAAAATTAAATTGTGCATCTTCTTCAGCTTTCTGTAACTTTCTCTTCTTTTCCTCATATTCTCCTATAAGCTCTGCTGAACTGCTGATTTCCTCAAAAAATTGGGTTCTTTCTTTGGGTTTTTTCATAGAAATCGACTCTACAGTTCCCTATTAAAGAACACATCAAATGTAGTGATGTATTTTCAAAACTATGAATTAAATAAACTACTATAGCTACTTACCTGAAAAACTAGACAGTTTCGTGCCTTGACGATTATGCCTATCTTTTCCAATTCTGCTATATAAGCAGAACGACTCACAGGATTATCATCAAAACGAAATTCTGAGCATCCCCCTGAAATTAAAAAAATAAAGGCTATTACAGATTATTTTCCTTACTGAAATGACCAATAAATATACCTGTTAATAAATTAACTTAATCAGTGAATGAAAGCACTGAGTGTGTATTATATGTCAAGGACTATTTTGTAGTGTTTTAACAAAACAGATAAAGTCTCTGCTATCAAGGAGCTTATACCCTCGTCAGGGAAACAGACAAAAATGACATATGTAAGTAAACAAATAGTATGTGAGAAAAGTGATAAGTGCTAAGGAATAAAAAAAATCTGGAAAGGGGTAAGAATAGAAGTTTATGTGTGCAGTAGGGGGGATGTATGACAATTTTAAATAGGGTGGGCAAGGGAATCTTTACTGGGATAGAGACTAGAGTTAAAAACCCAAAGGCAGGCTGGGTGCAGTGGCTCAGCCTGTAGTTCCAACTCCTTGGGAATCTGAGGGAGGAGGATTGCTTAGGGCCAGCCTGAGCAACATATGGAGGCTCTGTCTAAATAAATAAATATCCAAAGAAAGAAAAACTAGCCAATGAATATGTATGGATGATAAAGTAGCAAAATACTTAAATTACACATTAAGGTACAAGTATACAGTAAGTATAGTAAAGTAATCGTGACTGAATTGGGGGGATGTTAATAAGACACTATGCATTAGAAATGTTCTAGTGGACCAGAATGAAAACAGTGACAACTAAAAACAATAAAATATACATCTATTCATAGAGGCTCTATAAAATCCTACCATAGGATAAAAAAACGTTACTCTCAATTTTGTTTATTCAGGGAACACAGGAAATTCGTAAGCAAAAAATACAAATTAAAACATTTCACTCAGCTGGGCATTAGTAGCTCATGCCTATAATGCTAGCTACTCAGGAGACAGAGATAAGGAGGATCACGGTTCAAAGCCAACCCCGGGGAAATAATTCATGAGACCCTATCTTGAAAAAACTCATCACAAAAAAGGGCTGGTGGAGTGGCCCTGAGTTCAAACTCTAGTAACACACACACACACACACACATACACACACACACGTCACTCAAGTTGCTTCCTGGTAGTAGAAAAACCAGCTATACAAGCCAAAAACATGCATACATGTAGTTAATCACTAAGAAAACAGATACACATGAAGAATTTCAGTAAGAACTCTGGAGGTGGGTTTCCTTCTTCATCTGAACCAAATATCCGAGCATAAAAATCTGTTTGACAGTAGGGGATTTGAATAAATAAACCTATTTAAAGAAGAATCTTAGGTGGAGATTGAAATAGGTTCTGTTAGTTAAGTCTGCGAAAAAAAGAATCTCAAGTTCACTATACTATTGGAATAATTAATTCCACCCTTCAAAAAAGCAAAAATCAAGCAATCTGATTTACTCTTGAAAAATCACAGACTCATGAACAAAAATCTACAAGAAAAAAAATACCCCGGATAATCCTTGCAAATGTCTTCTCTTGTCCACTTTCCTCCACATACACAATTTGTACGCTCGCAGAAGAAGAAACAGGTTTTCCTATATGTGCTCCATGAATAAGTTCTTGAATACTTTTCACTCTTAAATTAGCTGTTTTCTCTCCCATTACAAAACTAAGTGCATCCATCACATTAGATTTTCCTGGGGAAGAAAAGAGAAAGACATTCATTCTTAATGATAAAAAGCCATTTCCAGAGCCAAAGACATCAGGTCACTAATGGAATGAAATATAGTCAATACACATGTCTGAATAGTCCTGTCTGATCAACGTTCAAAATTCATGTGACTGAAAAAATTTAGGCAGATCACTTGTTTCTTTTATGCAGCTATGGAGAGCATTAAGACACATAGTACTAAATCTCAGCTCTCTCCATTATTATGTATTATACCAGGGCAAACCACTTCTCTGAATTTAAGGGATTCCCATTTTGTAAATATGAAAACAATCACTTAAAACATTAGTGTAACACCAAACGTACTCAAAATGGAAGGAAGGGAGGGGAATGGAGGGGAGGGGAGGGGAAGGAGAAAGAGAAAGGGAAAGGGAAAGGGAAGGAAGGAAGGGGAAGGAAAGGGAAGGAAGGAAAGGAAAGGGAAGGAAGAAAAGGAAAGGGAGGAAGGGGAAGAGGAAAGGGGAAATGTGAAGGGGAAGGAAGGAAGCGGAAAGGGGAAGGGAGGGAGAGAGGGAAGGAAGGAACGAAGGAAGGGAAAAGCTATACACAGATCTTCCCAAGGACTAGATAAAAAGATTTCTAGAATTTTCATGATAGTTATGAGATGGTGCTATAAAAAGGTTATACTGCAGACCCAAGACTATTGGTACAAATAATATGACTTAGGTTGAACACCCGCTTTCTTTCCAGGAGTCTGAAATTTTGGCATAAGCTAGGCAGAGGCTATGACAATCTCGCAATAAAAACCCTGGGCACTACATCTTTAGTGAGGCTCCCTAGTAGGCAACAGTTCAACATGAGAACTTGTTGCTGAAGGAATTAATCACTGTGTCACTATAACAGGTAAGGACTCTTAGAATCTTGTGCCTGGTTTTCCTCAGACTTTGTCCCATGTGCCTCTTCCCTTTGCTGAGTTTGCTTTGTGCCTTGTCATTATAAAAAATAATAATCTGAGTACAACTATATGCTGAGTCCCATGAGTCCTCCCAGCAACTCACTAAACCTGAGGGTTGTCTTGGGGATTCTCAACCCCAATGATAATTTTTTTGGTGGTGGTGGTACTGGAGTTTGAAAACAGGGCCTTGTGCTTACTCGGCAGGCCCTCTGCCACTTGAGCCACCCCTCCGCCCCAATGGTAAATCTGTTATCCAGTCATGAGCCTGTAATTTGCTCTAAGACAATTCCCAAGGAACACTGTCAATGTAGCTATTTCACAAGCAACTTGAATTTTCAGTGCCAGAGGAGGAAAGTAACATGAACAAAGAGAAAAGAATACTGCCAGCTGCTGGAATTTTAGAGGCTTAGGATCATTCAAAAAAGAACTAAAAGTGTTTAAAACACTGTATATTTATTTAGCTGAGTCTCCCCTCTTAATAGGTATGAAACATGGCACACTGAGCACTAAGAATCTGCACATTGAGAGCTACTGTAATAAGTACACAAAGGACAAAATGAACATTCATTGAACTGAACTATTACATTTGACAGTAACAGAGCTAAACAGAAACTCTTCTTTGGTCAACCTTATTTAAAATCTGCTTAAAATAAATACTTACCCAGCCAAATTAATCCATTCAATTAATGTTGTCCCTGACTAGTGAAGGTTATATTTTGCTAAGACAATAAACAAAAAATGCAATTACATGTGGTAATAAGTATCACGGGGAGGAAAACTGGGTGATGAAATGAAAGGTAATTGGAGGCAACTCAGACAGGATGGTCAGGAAACAAAGTGCCAACCTGCCAGCTAGTGTTAGCTTAACAACCATCTGTTGAAAAAAAAAATGAATGAAGGAACAAACCAAGACAAATTCTGCAACAGAACTCCACTTGAATAATTCTAGGGATCTCTTCTGTGAATAATTCAAGAGCAACATCAGAAAAATAATTCTGGAAGAGTAATCTTTTAGACCACCATCACTTGGTAAAAATGGACCAGTACTCAAAGATATAAAACTTACACTAAGACTTTCTAAGTCCCTTTTTGATTCCAACTTCACAAACCCTACTCTACCCTTCCTCTCCTTTACTGCTGCCCTACTAGTTCAAATCCTCCTTGCTGTAAGAGCCTCCTTTGCTGGAATCTTCAACCTTTGATCTGTTGCCCCTCAAATTCATTCATACAAACATTTTCTAAACACTATTTATCAGTACTGGGACCAGGAAACAAACATAGATTTTACTGTTAAAATTTACAGGACACTATAGTTTTGGACTAGCCTCCTTTATGCCAGGCATGGCAGAAGAGACTAAACCAAATTAGAGACATTCATGCTAAGTACCATATCATCAAACTTAAACTTTTACGAAGTAAATCCCTATACACTGACCAGCTTTTCCTAAAAACAGAAGACTCAACCAGAAAACAACCAACTGGAATGAGCCCAGTCTACCTCAGTCAGAGGTAATAAGAAAGATCCTCTGCTATAATCCTTAACCTGTTAGCCAATTCATTTCATTTTTATTGCTGTTTCCTTATTTGTACCTTACAAAAATCATTTTTTTACACCCAGTGGAACACTCATTCTGTCTTATAGAATGTTGCCTGATTTTACAATCACAAATAAAAGCCAATTAGATCTTTAAATTTGTTGTGATTTTCTTTTTACTCCTACAAGGTGTTAACAGTGGGTAATTTGTCATTTTTTTAAAACCTCATTTTGTGTCAGATACCCTACATCTTTAATCTTTGCAACAATACTGTGAAATAGGTATTTAATTTGCATCATTTTACAAATAAAGAGGCCCAAAGTCAAAGAACTCGTATGTTTTGGAGTGTTGTAGCTGATTTCAAAACATATGCTCTTTCCAATGAAACACAGGAAATAACAACATAATAAATTCTAAGAGAAAATGAATATGAAATACCATGGGAGCACTTAACAAAAGCACTAATGGCTGGAAACTCTGAGCTGGCTTTGCAGAAGATAATACTGGACTAAGTTTTAAAGGGTAATTAGAAAGTTTGAAGGTGAAGGTAAATATGTCATTCCTTTGTACCTTTGTCACAGGTACAAAGGAATGAGAGAGCAGGGTAATATTCCATTAACAAAACAAGTAACTCAATGTGGGTAGAACAGAGCTCATAAACTTGGGAACGGTAATAGAGAAAGCAGGGAAAGTTATGCGAGAATTACAACATGCTACATTAAAGGACTGAACGTCATATTTAAGATTATGTAAGCCACTGAATGACTTTAGGAAGAGCTTTTCAAATATGCTTTGTAAGGATTTCTCAGACAATATAATCGAACAGAAAAGTTGGCAAAGGACACAAAAGGCAATTAGAAGAAAAAACCCGCAAAAGGTCCTTTACTGTATTAAAAGGTCTCTAAACCACTCATAATAAGAGAAATATAAATTAACAGTTTTCACATCAATTCTCACCTGTAAGACTGGCAAAAATCCAAAATGTTCAGAACACATTCATCTGGTGAGGCAGGAGGGAAATCGGCCCTCTTGCAGACCGTATTTAAAATGATGTATTTTATGGTATATAAATTGTATCTTAACGAAGTTGTTATAACCATAACAAAGGATTCCCTGTATTTTCTAGCCCTGTCTACTGAAATGGTCAAGAACCAATGTTATCAGGATGTACCCAAGAATCTCTAGCTCCCAGAAGTATGTCTCTAGTAACTTTCCTACTAAAAAGAAGCAGAAGTCATTGGAGAACTAGTCAATACTAAGACTAAAGCAGGGAAAAATGAAGATGAGCCAGAGTACCAGAACATCAAATATCAGAAAGCAAGGAAGTTTTCCAATATTAATGAGGTCATGACCAAGGGACAGTTTGAAAGAAGCCCAATGACTGAAATTGTAACAATCTTCAGTATCAAAAAGAATGATTTTGTTGATCAAGACACACTGCAGCAATAAAAATCTGAGTTTATATTAGTATTAAAAAAAAGAAGAAAAATCTATTTCCACCATTTGAGGCAGCTATTAAAACTCCTTTCTTTGAAAATATTAAAAAGAAAGAGGCAAGCATTTAACCTGGTTTTTTTTTGTTCGTTTGTTTGAACTGTGCTTCAAACGTTCAAAAAAAAAATAACAAAGGGAAGTTTTTGGTTTTTTTTAACGGGGAAACCATCAAACAAATGAAGAAAGCATGACAGAATTAGAAAAACTTAATTTTGTAAACCTTAACAAAATGCTGACTCAGGCAAGATTATTCATTGTTATTAAAACTATCAGGTAGCTGGATATGGTGACGTATGTCTGTAATCCCAGCTACTTGGAAAGCAGAGGTAGGAGGCCAGCTTGGGCAAAAGCATGAGACCTCATCTGAAAAACAAACTAAAAAAAAAAAAGCAAAAAGGACTGGGGCATAGATCAAGGAGTAGAGGACTTGCCTAGTCAGCACAAGCCCAAATTCAATCCCTAATACTGCCAAAAACAACAGTAACAACAACAAAACCCAACTATTAGGTAACTGTCTAGTACAGAATGTAAGTATATAATGACAAAGTTAACAGGAGTTTATAGCTAGAAGAGGAGCTAACAAATACAATGAAGAAATCACTGCCACCACCCTGATTCAGGGGTCAATCTTAATAACACTCATGATAAAAAAATCAGAAATTATGTGATACAGTGGAACATGAAGTACATACAATGTACTTATGATGGAGTCTAGCCAAAAATATTTATTATGAATTCATCAACTCTTTAAATATACCCTCCAGTTTACAGAAATACAGAGGCTAGAAGAACAAACTAAATTTAGAAAGCAATCTCAATCTAAACATTTTATAGGAAAGTTTCTCTAATCTTTTCAGCACATCAGTATTATAAATAAAAGTTTCATGGTAACTTAAAAGAAATTTAAGGGATGTAACAATCAAATGCAATATATGGTTCTGAGTTGGAAAATGATTTGGGTAAAAAACATTTTGGAATCAGTCAAGGAAATCTGGGATGTGAATTGAACACTTACTGAAAAAGTTGAAGATAATCTCAAGACATTAGAATAGAGAACAGTTTGTACCATTAGACCTCATTTTCATTTCTTTTTTATATTACTGGGATTTGAACTCAGGGCAATCTTCCCTATCTCCACCTCCTAAGTAGCTAGGATTATAGACATGAGCTGCCACGCCTGCCTGTCATTTTTTTTAAGTTTGCATAGGAAGAGATCTGTATGGATATGCCCCATGGGGTTAGAGTTATCATCTCTGAATATCGAAAATTATGATGGTTTTATCTTTTTATTTTTGTTCTTTAATTTTTTTACAATGCACATATACTGCTTTTATAGTAATAATAAAAGTTTTTTAAAAAGAATTTAGCACCATTATATGAATTATCTAAAATGGAGACACAAACTAGGTCATGAAATTAAAGGCAATTAATTGGGGGAGGCAACTCAGACAAGATAGTCAGGAAACATGAAGTGCTGGCCTGCCAGCTAGTGTTAGCTTAACAACCATTTGCTGAAAAAAAAAAAAAATGAATGAACAAACCAAGTCAAGTTCTGCAAGAGATTGTGGATCTCTTCTGGAAATAATTTAAAGGCAACAAGGGAGATATGATTCTGGAAGAGTTACTTTACTATTTGCTTCCCCTACATTTACTGTGCTTCCTGTGGGGAAGGGAGAGGTGTCCACATGCCAAATTCATTTCCATTTCATTAGCATTGGCTAGTTCGGGGACTTGGAATGCTTTTCCCCCAAGGGTTTATTGGGACTGCCACTTTGATGAATTCTTCATTCTTGGTAAATTCTCCCTATCACAGCCAATACATTAGCACTGGTGCTAATTCTGCCTTCTTAGTAATCCTGTCCTCATCTCTGTTCTCACTATCTATCACTTTATTTCATACTCATCATTTCTTCCTTGGACTACTGCAGTAACTTTTCAGCTGAATTCCCTACTTCCTCTCTTACTCAATTTTAAATGCATGTGTCACACATGCTACCAGAGTAATCTTTATTTGTTCCTCTAAAAAGATCCATGAGGAAAAGGCATTTGACAGAATTCAATACCTTCCCATCAATAGGGTTTGCTCTGGATAGTGTGGCTTTCCAGTGATTTTTTTTTTTCTGTATTTCCCAATTCTCTACACTGAATGGCTTATTTTTCTAATCAGGAAAAAACATTTTCAAAGCCCATTTTAGACAAGTTAAGTAGAAATGGTGGAACCAGGAACTTGGTAAAAGCTGCATAAACAGGATTACTACAGTATATTCCTGGGCCAAAGATTCCTGGATGTTTGCTCAGACTGCCTGGAACCAATAACTTCCTTGAGCTACCTCCTCACACTCTTCATGAGAAACACTAACTAGGACTAGGACATAAAAGTGAAGAGCTGGAGGAGCCAGGGCAAAGAGGGCTTGGGTGGAACTTCCCTTGGGGGTGGAGGTCAAGGATGGACTCCGGGATGGAGGGTGAGGGTTCAGTGAAGGTGGGATGGAGGGCAAGGGTCAGCTGAGGAGAGGTGAGAGATGAGGATCACCAGGAGGGAGGAGGGTGAGGGTCATCAGGAGGGAGGAAGGTGGGGGTCACCAGGAGGGAGGATGAAGGAGGGTGGGGATCGCCAGGAGGGAGAAAGAAGGAGGGTGAGAGTCTCTAGGAGGGAGGAAGGTGAGGGTCGCCAGGAGAGAGGAGGGTGAGAGCCACCAGGAGGGAGGAGGGTGAGGGTCGCCAGGTGGGAGAGCAGAAAAGGGTGGGGGTCGCCAGGAGAGAGGAGGGTTTGGGTCGCCAGGAGGGAGGAGGGTGAGAGTCGCCAGGAAGGAGGAGGGTGGGGTCGCCAGGAGGGGGAGGGTGGGGGTTGCCAAGAGGGAGAAGGGTGAGGGTCACCAGGAGGGAGGATGGAGGAGGGTGAGAATTGCCAGGAGGGATTAGGGTGGGGGTCGCCAGGAGGGAGGAGGATGAGAGTTACCAGGAGGGAGGGGTGGAGGTCGCCAGGGAGGAGTGAGGTCGCCAGGTGGAAGTGGTCGCCAGGCGAGAGGAAGGTGGGCGCCGCCAGGAGCGAGGAGGGTGAGAACCGCCAGGAAGGAGGATGGTGGGGGTCGCCAGGTAGGAGGACAGAAAAGGGTGGGGGTCGCCAGGAGAGAGGAGGGTGGGGGTCGCCAGGAGGGGGGGAGGGGTGGGGGTCGCCAGGAGGGAGGAGGGTGGGGGTCGCCAGGAGGGGGAGGGTGGGGGTCGCCAGGAGAGGAGGGTGGGGTCGCCAGGAGGGGGAGGGTGGGGGGTCGCCAGGAGGGGGGAGGGTGGGGGGTCGCCAGGAGGGGGGAGGGGGGGGTCGCCAGAGAGGAGGGGAGGGTGGGGTCGCCAGAGGGGGAGGGTGGGGGGTCGCCAGGAGAGAGGAGAGTGGGGGTCGCCAGGTGGGAGGACAGAAAAGGGTGGGGGTCACGAGGAGAGAGGAGGGTTTGGGTCGCCAGGAGGGAGGACAGAAAAGGGTGGGGGTCGCCCGGAGGGGGGAGGCTGGGGTTCGCCAGGGCGGAGGAAGTTGGGGGTCGCCAGGGGGTAGGAAGACAAGGCTCTCCAGCAGGGTCCCCTGAAAGGCGAGGGTCCGCCTAGAGGAATGCGCCAGGAAGCGGGTCCCGCTGTGAAGAGGACGCCAGCACTAGGCCGCATGGCACCCTTCGTCTCCTCAGGCCAAGCGCGCCTCCGGCGGTGCTGGCGTCCGAATCCCGCCCGAGGCGCGGGTTACCAGAGCCGTTGGGGCCGATGATGCAGGTGAATCTCCTGAAAGGCCCAATGACCTGGCGGCCCCGCCACGACTTGAAGTTCTCCACGAGCAGCAGCTCCAAGTGGCCCATGGCTGCGCTCACCACCTCAGCCGCGTCCTCACGCGCGGGCGAGGAAAGCGCGGGAAGAACTTCGCCAAGTCTCGCGAGACGAGAACGAGCTTTGGCGAGCGCTGCGCCGTTCCTTAGCAACCACGTGTTGGCGTTTTGGAGCAAGTCTCGGAGCCGCAGCCGCTTCTACTCGAAAGAAGGCTGTTGAGCACTGCGCGGAGGATTGCAGCCCACTGTCCTCTCCTGTTCCGCGGCTCGCTTAACTTTTGTTCTTTTCTTATCTTCCCCGACCCCCTCGGAATTCGCAGTCGATTCCCAGAGCCATGAAGGTAGCACTGCCCAAGGACCTGGAGCAGGACGCTCGCTTGGCCAAGAGGAGTCACGCCGAGTTGTGCAGACAAAAACGGATCTTCAACGCCAGGGACAGAATCATTGGGGTGAGGCGGTCGGGCCGGTTTGGAAAGCGGGCGGCAGGGGAGGAGAGGAGACGCAGGCTTGGAAGGAGCCTTTGACTCGGCGCGGCTGTAAAGGGCAGGGTTTGCAGGCGTGCGCGGTGCGGTGGGGAGGAATAGTTCGATGCGCTCACTGACTTGCCGAAGACAGAGGGTCTTAACAGGTCACCCCTCACCTGCCAGATGAGCAAATGGGGCCCGAGCGGGAAGGGAACGTGCCTGGAGTTAGTGGCAAAACGGACACCAGAACTCTTATTTTCTTCTCCCTGAGCCAGGCTTTCCATCCACACCCTCAGGGGTTCATTCCAACCCACTCGTTTGACAAACATGCCTGTGGAGTGCCTATTTGGTGGCCACCATGCATCGGGTCCAGCAGATGAGGGACCAGGCAGTCTCTGACCCCCAAGTCACAGCCTCGGTCACAGAAAACACAGTGGCATCAGTGCTGTGAGGGTGGGCAGCGCCTGGCAGCCTGCCAGCCTACACTGGCGCCTGGAGGGGAAATAAAGAAGGCTTCCCAGAGGAGGTGATGCGTGAGCAGTCCTCTGAGGATGTTTATTTAACTGAGAAAGAGGAAAGGAAGCTCTGGGGAAAACCGAGAGCACAGACTGAAGACCAACCATAAGCAAAGGCATCCAAGTGTGGAAAGGCCTGACTGAGGTGCACCTAAGACAACTGGTTTGCACTGGGGCAAGAAGGATTGTTATCTACTGAATAATGTTGTCTGGATCTCACCACTCACTGTTCGCTGGCTTTGCATTCCCAGGGAGACACAGAAGCCTGGGATGTTCAGGTTCACGACCAGAAGATGAGAGAAGCAACTGACAAAGCTAGACATGAAACCTTTGGTGAGCTTTTCCTGAATGCCTCTGTACTGGTTTAAGGCCATGTGTCTTCATTTCTTCACAGTATTTGAAAGTTGTTGGTCTGGGGATGTAGCTCAGTAGTAAAGCACCTGCTTAGTGTGCACTGGTTTCAATCCCCAGCATGCACAAAAACGCTTGTCATTTTCACATTCTGTTCCTCTTAAAAATTTTAGTTTCTTATGCTCAGTTAACTTAATGAGTTGATTCTTCCTTCCTTAAAAAGTATCTATTAATTCTAATGTAGATCCTGGGAAATCTATTTTAAGCTTAACTGGAGTTTTTTTTTTTTTTTTTTCCTGTTTTCTAAAAAACCTGGAAGAGCCTTAGACACACACATGTATACATTTTCTGCTCAAAAGTTCAAGACTTTGTATAGAGGACAGCTGTTCACACTAGCTAACACATAATCAGCACACATAATCAGCATTCTTACCCCTTAGCTAACTCAGACATGATTCAATAGCATTGAGTCTTAGATCAAAATTTCAAATAGAATTAATTTCCTCTATCATGTCCAACATTGTCAACAATTATTAAAGCCAGTTTTTTAATATCATAAGGATTTTAAGTGGAAAAAGAGGATACAAAATTTTATATGCAATGGGCTGTCAATTAAGTTTTTAAAATATTTTAAATGTGCTTAGAAAAAGACCAAAAATATTGGCAGTGGTAATGTTGGGGAGATAGAATTATGAGTGAGGTTTATTTTCTTCTTTATACTGTTCTGTATTTTCCAAACTTTTTCCTTTTTTAGTTATAAAGTAATTCATACTTGTACCACAGACACATATGTATCACCCACTAGACCAGACATTAACATATTGCCAAATTTTTTAAGAGTGCTGTTTGAGAATGTGTTTCATATAGTTAAAGCTGTATTCCTTACGGTTTTCCTCTTCCTCCTCAGACATGTGCATCATTCCTGTGTGGTGTTTGTACTTGCACGATCTATGTATTCATAACTACATAAAATTGTTTTATGTGCTTTTAAAATTTACATAAATGATACCCTATCAGATGGATCTTTCATAAGGTTTTTATTCAGTTTTTTTAATTAATCAGTGGTCTGTGTATAGAGAGTATTTGTTTTCATTGTTTTATGGCATTTTGTTGTATGAATTAACCAGTTTCCTTATCACCCATATGGATGGATGGCTTTGATTTTTCTTCTAAGTTTTTTTTTAAAAAGCTTTTCAGCAAACACAACTGCGATGACTGTCAATCCTTTATGTCCCTAGTGTCCATGCAGGAGAGACAACAGGATGAAAATGACAGGTCATCTTGCTAAATGGCAAGATTGCTCCTACAGGCAATAACACAAGATCGCCTCCCACATCCATACTGATATTTGCTGTTATCAGTATTATAAATATTTCGCCTCCAGTTCATTGGATGTTTCCCCTTTTGCAAAGTTAATCATCCTTTCACAGGTTTATTGATCACTCAGGTTTCTTTGTCGTGATTTGCCATTCTTAGCCTTTGCCCATTTTGGGGGTGGGTTATTGTGCTTTTAACATCAATTTGTAGATGTTCTTTGTGTATTCAAGTTACTAATCCTTTAATGGTTGTGTTACTTTTTTGGAGTGTTGTATTTAATAATCGTTAAAAATTATTTTTTGACCTGGATTCGGTTTTTTTCTCTTGAGCTTATGCATACACTATATCTTTTCTAGCTGCTGAAATGAGGCACAATGACAAGCTCATGTGCATATTAGAAGGCCGGGAGAGGAGAGACAGGAAAAACCTCTGTAGAGCTATCAGTGACTTCCAGCAGAGATTTCAGAAGCCAGAAACTCGCCGTGAATTTGATCTGTCTGACCCCCTGGCCCTTAAGAAAGATCTTCCAGCCCGGCTGTCAGATAATGACACCAGAAACACAGTCTCAGGAATGCAGAAGTTCATGGGAGAGGATTTGAACTTCCGGGAGAGAAAGAAGTTCCAAGAAGAGCAGAATCGAGAATGGTCCTTGGAACAGCAGAGGGAGTGGGAGAGAGCCCGTGCTGACCACAAAACTGCAGGTAGTGACAAAGAAGAACTGAATCGTCTCAGTAGTCTCTTCAACAAATCCAACCCCCAGTGTTTGTGGATGATTTTCTTTTTTTTTTTAAGTCTAGGGGGTCACACATCTCCAGGCATGTGGCAATGCCTTCTGAGCAGGACCCTGCTGGGTACTGAGGCTCAGTAAAACTCAGAATGGTTCCCTGTCCTCATTATGGTCATAGTCTGCTTGGAAGATGGATGGAAATAGGTAGCCTCCCCCAAGTCTTCTTGGTGCTGTGGTGAAAGCTCCATTCTGCAGGGCACTTTGGGGGCCCAGCTGCAGGCCTGGAGCTAGCACCTGCTCACCAGGACTCCCCATCCCCAGCCACTGTCAGGCCAAAGCTCTGAGACATGAAACAGCCTCTCCTCAAGGGATCTGCCAAGTCCCGGTATGTCCTGCCTTTACTGAGGTCACCAGTCCCAGTACCACGAGTTCCTCCTCAGCAGGTTCTGACAGCAGCATCTAGTCCTCTGATGCTGGTGGCCAAATGAGGAGGGGCTTTGTGCAGAAAGATGGTCCTGCCTCCTGAGCTACTCCTCTCTGCTTGTTAACTTGCAGTTGACTTGCTCAGCGCTGCCTCCTCCCAACCTTTTTTCTTACTCTGTCAGCCATGTCATCTCCCCTTCTCTCCAAGCACCCAACTTCTGCCCTCCCCTGCCACTGGAGCTGCCCTGGCCAACCTCACCAGTGACCTTTGTGTTGCCCAGTCTGAGGTGGGTTCTCAGTCTTCATTTGGCCATGGGCAGCAAGTAGCACAGTGGGTCATCCTATCCTCCTTGAAATATTCATGCCATGTGGCTTCCAGGACACCACTCTCCTGCTGGCTTTCTTCCTGCCCAGGTGCCTTTGCAGGTGTCTCCTCATCTTCTGAACCTATGGGTATGATTAACTCCAGCACTCCCTGGGCTGCCTGCATCGGGTCTACACCCCACACACACACAGTGGTCTCACCTGGTCTCATGGTTTTGAATACCACATGCAGGCCATATCCCAAGCTTGTGTCTCCAGGCCAGACTCCTCCCTGAATCCAGACTCACGTATCCACCCAGCTGCTCTTGCACATCTAGTCATCACATCAAAGCCACTACAAGTGCAGTAACAACTGGGATCTTCCCCCAGACCCAACCTTCCATTTGTGTCCATGCAACTCTCATCTTCCAGTTGCCTTGGCCCCAGCCAGGCATCCTGACTGCTTCCTTTCTCTCGAATCCCATGCCAGTCCACCAGCAAATCATCTCAAGTTTTAACTGCTTTCTTCACCTCCATCATTGCCAGTCTAGACTAAACTGTCAGCGTCTCTCAGCTGGATTGCTGCAGGAGCCTCCATCTGGTCTCTGCTTCTGCCCTTATGGTCTGTGGTCTCCTCTCAACCCCAGCCAAAGCCATCCCTGAAAAAGTTAAGTTAGGTCCTTTGCTTGAAACCCTCCAGTAGCTTGCCAGTTCACTCCTTGCAAGCCAAGTTCATTTCAAGGACCTACAGGGCCTTCACAGTGTGGCCTCACTTCCTGCTACTACTCTGCTGTCCACTCCTTTCTTTGCATGTGGGTCTGTCATACTCACAGTTAGGATCACTTCTGCCTCAGGGCCTTTGCACCTGCTGTTCCCACTACTTGGAACATCTTTCCACAGATGTCTACATTGTTTACCCCTCTTTGTCAGGTTTTTGTTAAAATGTCATCTTAGCAGTGAGGCTCTCCCAGAACCCCCCACCCCGTACCTCCACCCCATGTTCCCCATCCCCTTCCTTGCTTTATGTTTCTCCCTAACCTTGATCACATTCTGTGATCACTGACACTGTTCCTTTCATAGTTGCCGTCCTTCCCTGCAGTATCATCCTATGCTCAGGTAAGGTGGAGGATTTTTGTCTGTTCTGCTCACTGCTGTGTCCTTAGTTTCTAGCACATAGGTAAGTATTTGTAGGAATAATCCACTCATCGGCCTTCTAGAACCTCATCTATCTCCTGGGTGCTGTAGATTCCTGTCTCTGGCCATGAGCCTTCACCTCAGTCATGGATCTGGTCCTTAAGTGCCCCCTTGACAGCTCACCAGACTTCCCAGTGTGGCAGAGCTAACCCTGAATTCTTCTGCTGGGTCTGTCCCCACGTCCATCCTCCTCCCCCCACCACCTCAAGCCAGAAGCCTAGGGTCATCTTTGACCCTGTCTCCAGGCCATCTTCAATCTTGTCCCTTCTACCTCTTGCATAGATTTTGAGCTGTCCCCTGCTCCCCATCCCTTTTGCCATTGCAGTGATACATGTCATCCCTGGACATGTTCTCACCTGGACAGACCCTGCCAGTAACTTTCAACTGTCTCCCACCTCCTTCCTTCCCCTACTCTGGTCCTTGTTTAATGTCATGGGCAGAGTGATGCTTTTAAATATGTTGTGTTGAACAGTGACATGCCACCGCCTTCATCCCAGCTCAGAACTCCCTAACAGCTTCGTGGCAGATGGACTAAAATGCGAAATCCTCCAGTAACTCACCCCTCCAGTACCACTGTCCGTCCCCCACCCCACTTGCAGTGTTCAGGACATTGTTCTCTTTCACTTCTGGGTCCTCCAAGCCCTTCCCCACTCAGAGCCTTCACACTGCCCTGGCCCAGCCTCCTTGTCCTTCACGTCTGGATTTACATGTCACCTTCTCCTAAGAAAGCAGTCTCTTGCTCCCCATCCCTGACACGAGTCAGGCATCCCCAACGCCGTCTCTCTCAGCTCCTATCCTTTCCCTCCACAGACCCCCACGTTTGTGTCAGCATGTATATTCAGGGTTCACTTGTTTATTACCCCACAACAGCAAGTTCACTCACCGCTGCATCTGTCCCCAGCAAAGTGTCTGTAAAGTGGATGAATGAACAAGTGGAGACTGAGATGAGGCTGAAGGTGAACACAGGCCAGAAATTCAAGGCTAAGGAGTCTGATCTTTTGGGGCTAGCAGTGTAAGCTCAGTGGTAGAGTACTTGCCTAGCACATGTGAGGCCTTGGGTTCCTCCTCTAGCACCTCAAAGAAAAAGACTCTGGCCTTTGTTTTTAGAGATAATAAGATCCTCAAGGCATAAATACAGAAATCAGAAGCTGTTGGTCAATGACTTTTTAAAAATCTGGAGTAAAGTAGGGATCCTGCCTCACATGTAAGGACACAGAGGCCCAAGAGAGGTTAAATAATAGTTATGGGTAATAGGGATAGGCAGGTGGCTTATGCCTGTAATCCCAACTACTCTGGAGATCAAGATTGGGAGGATTGTGGTTTCAGGCCTGCCTTGGCAAAAAGTGAGATTCCCCATCTCAACAAACAAGCCTAGTGTGGTAGCACACATTTTTAATCCCAGCTACATGGTAGGTATAAGTAGGAAGATCAAGGTCCAAGGCTAGCCTGGGCAAAACACATGACCCTATCTGAAAAATAATTAAAGCAAAAAGGGCTGGGGGTATGGTTTATGTGATAGAGTGCTTGCCTAAGCAAGTGTAAGGCCTTGAGTTCAAACCCCAGTACCACCAAAAAAAAAAAAAAAAAGGTTATGCCTAACAGACCTAGGAAGTGGGTGGGATCCTGATCTGTCTGACTCTAAATCATTACTTTTTGCTATGGGGACCCTCCACTTTGATCCCTACTCTTCCTCCCCATTGACCTGTTAGTCCTACTGCCACTCACAAGTATCTGTGACCTGGCACTCTTTGGGTCCTGTCTCATTTCTACACGTCCTTTTCCTGGGTCCTCACCACCCCTTGCCTCCTTATATACCAGGGATAGCAAGAGGCACCCACTAACCTGCCCCAGGACCATAGCAGGCATCACTAATCCGTGGCAGACATTACCAGTGCCCAGCAGTGGTCGCTGGCACTCACTGAATGCTGAGATCTAAGACCTCGACTTGAGTCAAATCATCTAACTCCCAGAGCTTCCGCGGCCGGTCCTATCATTTCCCTCTCCTCCTCTTCAATGAAGACTCATGCGTGAGCGACCGTGCCGCACAGTGCCCCACACCCCTGAGCAGGTGCTCCCAGGGGAGCAGGCTATCTGATTGCAGCTTGCCTCTTTGCAGAGGACCTCCACAAGCAGACAAGGCTGCAGCTTGACGAAGCCGCCAGGCACCTGCAGAAGCTGGAAAGCGCCTCCAGGAAAGCAGCCTGTGTAGCTGTGAAAGAGTTCAACAAGAACCAGGTATACAGACCCAGGCTCGTGTGTAGAGGGAAGCATGAGCACGTGCAGCTTCCTGGGGCTCCCAGACCTTTCCACACCTCAGCTCTTTGTCATAACGTGAGGACAGTAACATCTACCTTGGTGGTACCACCAGCCCTGCCCTGATACCTCATGCTGGCCTCGGTTCTTAGCAAGAACTGATGCACGGGCACATGAATGGAAGGGATGATCGTGGCCACTATTTGTGCAGACCGTGCCATCCTCCACACACTGCCTGGTTCCTCACAAACGCTCCCTCTCTCTCCCACTCTGCTCAGAACTTGCTTCAAGTCTTTATTCCTTTTGGAAATTGACTTCCTTCTCCAGGCTTTGTCTCTGAATTCAGCTACATCTCCTGGGTGAAGTGGGCCTGGGTTACTCCATCAGATTAACGTGTTGACTAGAGGCCTGGTCACTAGAGGAGGCCACGCACAATGATCCCTTGGAGAGCGCGTGTATTTTAATTCTTACGTGTGCGTGTGTTTTATATATATAGCAATGCTATTTTTCTGTTGCAGTAGTACCTCGTTAATGAGCTAACTATATTGGAGATCTAGGCTCACAGATGTTCTATGATGGGGCACCCATCAAAAAACACCAGAGAGGCTGGGCCAGAGAGTGTTGGTTTTCAGCAGCGGAAGGAGGACCAAGGAGGGCAAACTGGGGGTGGTAGCAGGGACCCAAGGGCAGAGCAAGCCACCAGAGGCCCAGGTCACCAGCCAGGTCAGCTGCCAGGGATCTTAGAACCCCTTGTCAATCCTTGCCCTCTGTTTTACAGAGATTGCCCAGAAGGGTGGTGTTAGCACCAATTCCACAGCAGAATGGGGCTCTTCACAGTCAGTCCATTCATGACTGGTCATCCATTCCTTCATTCATGCAGCAATTCAACAGCTGCTGATTGAGCCCCTCCTACTGGGCTCTAATGTGCTGCTTGCTAAACCATGTTGCCTCATTCATAGGTTTGATTATTTGTTCATTCTGTAGTCTTTTATTGAGCACCTATAAATGTGCCTGGGACTTTCAGACCCTTCAGTTCTTCACGTGGATGCCATGAGGCAGCTCTAGGGAAAGCTGCACTTGAATTTGGCAGCTCTGTTCCTGCCTAGAATTGTGCTTTGTTAGCCTGGGACATTGACATGAGGTTTTAGACAGTATCCTCAAAAAGAAAATTCTAAGCCAAGAATGGTGATTCATGCCTGTAATCCCAGCACTGGGGAAGAAGCTAAAGCAGGTGGATTGCTAGTCTGAAGCCAGCCTGGCCTAAGTAGCAAGACTCTATCCCAAAAAAAGAAAAGAAAATTCCAGGCAGGTTGGCTATTCCATGTCAGCAGGGAAGATACAGTGGAGGCCTCTGGTTCCCATCGAGGCTGCTCACTTTGGTGAAGAGGCATCATGATGACGGGGTTTGGCATGTGGGCTTTAGAGCCAACTGCGCGGATGCGCCTGTCTCTGGGCCTTGGCAAGCCACTCCTGGCCTGTGAGAGCACCCACTGTATCTGTCAGCATTCTCAGGTAAGACACTCCCCCAAACCTCAGGGACTTAACACACAAAGGCCACTCATGCTCCATGTCTGTCATGGGCTGGCTGGGACAGAGCAGCCAGCAGCTGGAGGATTCCAGCAGCACAAAAGGAAAAGAACATGGCAGGTCCCACCCCGGGGGCTCCCCTATGCCACACAGCCACCTCTGCTCACATTTCATTGACCAGAGTAAACCCTGTGACCATGAACACTCAAATGGGCAGAAAGTGCAGGCATCCAGAAAGTTCACTGGCAGAATGTCCCAGTCAGCAGTAATATCCCAGTTGCTCAAAGGTGACGTCATGATTAAATTGGGTAATACAATTTGGCATGTTGTCAGGATGCCATAAATGATAGCCATTTTTTTTTCTTTTTTCTTTTATTATTCATATGTGCATACAAGGCTTGGTTCATTTCTCCCCCCTGCCCCCACCCCCTCCCTTCCCACCCACTCCGCCCCCTCCCTCTCCCCCCCCAATACCCAGCAGAAACTATTTTGCCCTTATCTCTAATTTTGTTGTAGAGAGAGTATAAGCAATAATAGGAAGGAACAAGGGTTTTTGCTGGTTGACATAAGGATAGCTATACTGGGCATTGACTCACATTGATTTCCTGTGCGTGGGTGTTACCTTCTAGGTTAATTCTTTTTGATCTCACCTTTCCTGTAGTACCTGTTCCCCTTTTCCTATTGGCCTCAGTTGCTTTAAGTTATCTGCTTTAGTTTCTCTGCGTTAAGAGCAACAAATGCTAGCTAATTTGTTAGGTGTCTTACCTATCCTCACCCCTCCCTTGTGTGCTCTCGCTTTTATCATGTGCTCATAGTCCAATCCCCTTGTTGTGTTTGCCCTTGATCTAATGTCCACATATGAGGGAGAACATGCGATTTTTGGTCTTTTGGGCCAGGCTAACCTCACTCAGAATGATGTTCTCCAATTCCATCCATTTACCAGCGAATGATAACATTTCGTTCTTCTTCATGGCTGCATAAAATTCCATTGTGTATAAATACCACATTTTCTTAATCCATTCGTCAGTGGTGGGGCATCTTGGCTGTTTCCATAACTTGGCTATTGTGAATAGTGCCGCAATAAACATGGATGTGCAGGTGCCTCTGGAGTAACAGTCTTTTGGGTATATCCCCAAGAGTGGTATTACTGGATCAAATGGTAGATCCATGTCTAGCTTTTTAAGTAGCCTCCAAATATTTTTCCAGAGTGGTTGTACTAGTCTACATTCCCACCAACAGTGTAAGAGGGTTCCTTTTTCCCCCCATCCTCGCCAACACCTGTTGTTGGTGGTGTTGCTGATGATGGGATAGCCATTATTTTTAATCCTAGCAACAGTTAGCTACTATTGGGAGTCACTGTGTTCATCAGTCTTACCAGGGAGGTATGGTTGTGCAATTTAGTAGACAGGGCTGAGGGTGAGCAGACTTCCTTAGGGACACCCAAACACTAAATGGCAAGTCGAAAATTTGCTTGCTCCCATCTGGCAGCAAAACATGTGCTATGTGAAACAGTGCAGTTGGCCTCTCCTGAGCACCTCCCTTCATCACTAAGGAGACCCCTCCCTTGACTTTACAGAGAAATGACTGCAGCCCAGGGAGGACAGGTGACTTTCTGCAGGTCACACAGCCCTATCTCTCCTGGGGATTTGAGCAGCGATTTGACTGAGAATTTATTTGCGTGGGGGCTATGGCTGGAGCCATCTAGACTGCTGAGGTGGCAATGTATCTTCCACCTTTTACAAGTCACCACTGTGGCGGCTCATTCACTCTGTTGAGTGTTCATTGTAGCCCACAGATGTAGTTTTTAGGACCACAGGAGGGCCTCAGAACACTGCCCTGGTGTGAATCCAGGTCAGTGGTGGGAGGGGCATCTCCCTGCATTGGTAAATTGGTGCAAAGACCCACAGCACTGTGTGCACACACCTGTAGGGAGTAGCGCAAGGGCAGCCAGGGTCTCTGGCCTGCCACACATCCCTGCTAGACAGTTCTCCCCCACAACCCTGGGCCGCCTTTAGCACATCTATCTGTCCATGGCCTCGGTGAGATTTGCTGTCCTGTGTCTCAGAGTCTTCTGGAGTCACTCAGGGTGTCTTCCCTGATGTCTTCCCCTGCATAGGCTGCGGAGTTGGCAGAAAGGAAAAGGCAAGAGAGAAAACGGGAACAAGAAGACAACCTGGCCGAGATCTCCGCCCTGTTGCAGGGGGACCTGCTCTCTGAGAACCTGCAGCAAGCAGCCAGGTCCTTTGGGCCACACCGTGTGATGCCTGACCACTGGAAGGGCATGAGCCCGGAGCAGCTGCAGGAGATCCGCCTTGCTCAGAAGCAGCAAGTCCAGGAGAAGCTGGTGCCTTTCCCCTCCCCACCATCCTCAGAGCCACCTCTGTCCCCTGTTGCCCTGTGCAGCCCTGCTCCTGTGTTTAGTCTCAGCCAGGGCCATGCTCAACAAGGGGGCTGCCTCAAAGAGTTCCCATTCTGGTGGGGGGAGCACGTGAAAGGGGTGAGTGGAGTATGGCTGCAGGCCTTCTCACCTGGGCAACTCAGAGGCAGGGAAGGTAAGGGACAATGGGAATCACAGCACCCTTGTGGATATGTCACATGTGCAGTGGTTGTTAGATATCTGTAGCTGTTAGGATTGGGTTTGCCTGAATATGACAAAGAAAACAAAGTGCAGCATTTTAAACAAAATAGAATTTCATCTCTTGCATGAGGACTAAATCCTTAGAGGAAACAGTGTAGGGTTTGTATGGCAGCTCGGTGGTCACTGAATATTCTGCCATCCTTGGCACCTGGCTCCCAACTCTTAGTACAAACCAGCTGCTTGAACACCAGCCATCTCACATGCAGCTATCAAAGAGGAATGGGGAAAAACACTCTAAGGAGTTTCACAACACATTTCTTCTTGCATTTCATCGGACAACTCTTTGTCACATCATGGCTCCTAACTGTAAAGAACCATGGGAAATGTAGTGTTTATTCCAGGCAGTGGAGCGCTGGCCATTCTTTATCAAGAAAGAAGGAATAATGGCTCCTGGGGGAACCATTAATGCTCCCCCACTGCTCACTTGCAGAGAGCATTAAAGTAGCAAACCTGGGTGTGATCGCACAGGGTGACTGGGGACAGAGGAGAGGAGATCTGAGGACTGGATCTTGAGACCCCCTCCCAACTGCCACCATTTATAGACAAAAGGGACCTGATGGGGGCGGCTGGGATGTCCTGGAGGCCAAGGGAGAGAAAGTATTCATTCAGGAGAAAGGAGAGGGAACCCCTGGCCACTTGTAGGATGTGGACTAAAGGCTGGATTCTGAATCCTGGGGTCCCCTGGGGCATCTTTGTGGGGACCACAGCTCAGGCAGGAGTGGGCAGAAAGGAAGAGGAGGCAAAGGCACAAATGCCCTTCCTAGGCATTCCCCTTGCAGGATGCAGAGAGATGGGGCTATGGGGTTGAGGGAAAGGTTTCATTTATTAGGACTTCAGGAATAACAGCATCCTTGTCATTCAGTGGAATTGAGGCTACGAAAGGGTAACTGATGCCAGAGGAGAGGCTTGCTGGAGCCAGTTCCCTGGGGTGGCAGGGAAGCCAGCAACATGGAGCACTATTGAGGGCTCAGCATGGACAGGAGCTCAGACTCCTCATCCCAGGCCATGGGTGGGCAAGGGAGGCATGAGGTGAGGGCTGGTAGAACTCCTCAGGAATCCCATTTTCTAGTGAAATGGAAACCAAGTCAGCAGCCGAGGTGCTGTCAGGGTTGGAGACTTGAGAACAGGGAACAGTACTAAATGATATCCAGGAGAGCTGGAAGGGGGCAGGATGGCCAGCTCTACCAGATGCCCACTGGGGCTCGTGGTCAGGAACTTGAATTGATCCCAGAGAGCAGGTCAGGTATATTCCCTGACCACACTCAGCTGGAGGGGAAAGCTGGGGTTCAGCATGGTCAGGGTATGCCTGGCAGCATGGCCAAGTGAGAGGCTGGGGTGCTGCTGGCTGAACGGAGGGTTGGGTAGGTTGCATGAGGAGGTGAGGACACACAGGCAGGGGATGGAGGAAAGGCGGGAAGAGAGAGAAGAGGGAACGTGGGCAATCAGTAGATCTGAGTCTTTAGGGCATAGATCAGTGTCCTGGAGACATCACAGAAGAGGCAGGTTAGAGTGGTGGTGTTTGGAGGTGAGACCAGGATGGGATGACATTGTTGGTAGTGACAAGGCAAAGCCAGAGGGGGGTCTGCCAAGTGCAGCCCTAGGATTCCAGCACCCACTAAAGCTGGATTCTCCCTGGGAGAGGGCACTGATGGCTGAAGAGTTGAGACTGGCTCTCTGGAGAGGAGTGATGAACACAGGAGCAGGACTAGGAAAGAGCCATCCCTTGAGGGTCAAGATTACTCAGATCTCTGGCTAGAGAGAGCTGGAGAGGGTCTCAGGCCTGCCAGTAAAGGGGCCTGTCCAGGCCCCTGTGCTGCTCGCCAAGGGTAGTTAGTTGGCCATGTGCCTTGCCCTCAGCCCAGGTGAGCACATCTGTCACTGTATTTGTGGCAAGGCAGTTTGTGTGATGGCACAGGGCACCTGCGAGCAGCCCTTTTACAGCTGAGGCCACTGAGGTTCACAACAGCAAAGTGCCTGGCCTGGCAGGTGGCCTAGCCAGCTCCAGCGTGGGACTGAGCCAGGCTGTAGATCACTGATGCACTCCAGCTGCTCCTCCAGTGGTGCTTGGGAGCTCCCCTGCAGGCTGGCTTCCCCCACCCCATGCACTTCTTTTTCGCTGGGAAAAGGGGCACTGATAGGTAATGCACAAGGCAGTCAGAGCTGACCCCACCTGAGGAAGGACTCTCCCTCCACACTAATCCAGTTTCCTCTTTAGGGCTCTGTGCTTTGCAAAGAAGGGACTGAAGGGCCATGTGGGAAGAGCTGGAATGCAGAAATTCGAGGGCCAGGCTGTTCTCACCCTGCCCATGCTTTGTGGGGGCCATGGCAACAGTGTGCCATGTCAACCCACCGAGGTGGTATCTGACCATTAAGCCAGCTGGGAACCTCCTGAGGACCTGACAGGAAAGAACCCCACTCACCAAGGCCTGTCAGAGCCCTGGGCTGGGAACACTGTCAGAGCTCAGTCCCTGCTGTCCCCTTTTATGGATAAGAGCACCAATACCTCCAAGGGCGAGAAGCATCTGGACCACATAGGATGAGGGCAGGGTGGGAGTCATCTAACCTTTCTAGGATCCTCAGTTTCCCTAAAATGAGAGGCTAGGCCCCCTGGATGATCTCCTGAGGCTCCTGGGCTGTGGGGAAGATGGCATTGATGCACCTCTCCTCCCTCCAGAGGTCCCAGGAGGAAGAGCGCCAGTGCAACATGGACTGGGACCAGCAGAGGATTCAGAAGGCTCGTGCCACTCTGCTGGAGGAGCGGCAACAGCAGCGCCAACAGCGGAACCTGCGCAGAGACCTGGACAGCAGCAACCTCAGCCTGGCCAGGGAGCAGCGTTTGCAGTGAGTGCCAGGGAGGCCCATGCAGAAGGAGCAGGCTGGGAGATAGCCCTCCCCAGGAAATCTTCCTCTGGGTACTGGGACCCATGCCAGTTCAAATAGGTGGGCAGACCCATATGCCACTGCTGCCTGCTGTGGGTGCCTGAAGCCCAGGGATGGACACTGAGTAGGCCCGAGGAGTCTGGAAGGCTTCCTGGAGGAAGCTATATGGTTGAGCCCCAGGATGGTGGCAGCCACTGTGACATACTAGCAGTCTCGGGTAAAGACAGAACCCCATGAGTAGTTCAGAGACCAGATGCAGGTAAGCTGGAGAACTTGTGACTGAAATGGATTTATTTACTTACCTGTTTACCAAGCCTGGCTTGAACTCAGGGCTGCACAGGCAGACCTGGCTACCCGTGCGTCCAGTTGTCATGACTTCAGCCGGGGCCTAAAAGAAGCCCTCAGACCTGACATGGCAAGTCACTGGGGATGCTTTGAGTGTCTTCACAGCCACATGTGGAGATCTAACCTCAGGATGTCCCTGTATCACAGGTGTCAGTGTCGAGTGCACCTGCAGTGTCCTTACGGAGTGGCACTGAGGAGCCAGGGAGGGGGTTTCTGTCAGCACAGCAGGTGGAACTGGATGCTATATTGTGGAGATAACGTGCTGGTGAGCAGTCTGTGGGTTTCCTCTTTGAAAATACTTAGGAAGAGTATTCAGTTACTCATCTTTTTTTCTCCTTTTATTATTAGGAAAAAATATATGGAAGAATCATATAAAAACCAACCCTCTGAAGATTATTTCAAGCAATTTAATACAAGAAGCCGATAATGAGAAAGACACCCTTGTCCCCTCACTTGGAGAAAGTACAGCCACCTCGGAGAGTCAACTTTATTAAAAACAACACACTCTTCGGTCCACAAGTCTCCATTTGCATTCATTACCGATGGTGGACAAAGCCTCCCCTTCACATTCCGTGAGGGGCACTCCACTCCATGAAGGTCTCTGCTGAGGACATGGGAGAGCAGGTATCCCTGGAAGGGACCATCCTAGAGAGCTGGCTTCATGGATGGGCCTGTGTATTGCTTAGACTCCAGGTCCAGGCGCTGTGGTCAGTAACACGAGTGCTGACTTGGTTAGCATCATAGGCATCATTCCTATTTGGGTTCTCATTACAGTTGGTGGCCAGTATTTTTTTTAAATTTCAAAAGAATGCATTTCGCTAACACTCATGAAGACCCTAACATTTCTAAGAATCAAGTAATCTGCATAGCTGTTTTTTCTTTGACATCTGCAATCTGGACTTCGCCTCCCTTTAATTTCTTCTACAAGTGAGTATTGTATAACAATGACTACTAGGCCTTATGGGAAATACAAAGGAAAGAATATAAACTTTCTTACCTTAAAAACTTATAATCTAGTTGGAGAGATGTTTTAAATTTACATTACATGACTCAAATAATAAACCATCAGTATAAGATGTCACAAGCGTATATAATCTGGAATGAAATGAATCACTTAGTTCTGAGTGTTACAATCAGAGGGGAAGAAACCTAAGAATGAGGACAGTCTGAGAAGCTTCCTAAGGGGGAAACACGACTGAACTGGTGCTTAGAGGATGGGGCAAGAGGTCCAGGCAAGAGCCAAGGACAGAGCTAGCACAGAGATCAGCAAATTATAGCCTGTGAGCCACTTAAGAAAAGATTTTATATTAACATTTTTAAATGGTTGAGACAATAAGCAATATCTCATGAAAGAGAAAATTACATAAAATTCAAATTTCAGTGCTCATAAATAAAGCTTGATTAAAACAGCCACACTCATTTGTTTGCACATTGTGGCTTCACACTACAATGGCAGTGTTGAGCAGTTATGACAGAGACCACACAACCCACTAAGCTTAAAATATTCACTGTCTGGGCCTTTAGGGAAAGTTTTCTGAACCCAGGCCAATAATATCAAAGGGGTAGTTGATAGGCTGTGCTGGCAGAGAGCCTTTGGGTGTAGGAACTGTGAGAGATGGGGTAGTAATGGGTGCCCAGGGATCAATTATGACAGACAGTTAACACCAGGCTGAAGAATACAAACTCTGTCCTGTATGCAATTGATCGAAATTGTCACCATGTGCACAAGTTCGATTATAGTATCTATGCATATCTGGAACAAAACTCCAAAATATTCAGAAGGATATTTTGTAAAAGAGAAAGTCAGTCTGTAGCCTGACCTGCAGGTACGCAGGCAAGACAACTCTGCCAAGGTCCCTAATTATTTGTCCTTAGGTTCCCTTACAGAAATATTCTTGCATGTCACAAACAGCTGTGAGCTTACATGTATGTATATTCTTTCATTTAAAAAACCACAAAGAGGGCTGGTGCAACGGCTCAAGTGGTAGAGCACCTGCCTAGCAAGCAGAGGCCCTGAGTTCAAATCCCAGTACCACCAAAATACCCACGGATGGTAGTGTACTATAAAAATACTGCTCTATATTCTGCCTTCCAGCTTGCAGCTCAGGGTTTGCTCTAGCCCAGACGCTTTTTTCTGTAGCTGTATAGTATGGGTGTATTACTTTTACTGACTGAGATTGAGGAAGACTGAATCAGAAGCTCTATGGTATTTTTGGAGGCTCTGTGGAGCTGGTGAGTTCCAGGAGAACTAAAGGAGGGAAGACTAGTCAGCAGATGGAGGATCCAGAAGAGTGGCTGGGAGCTCCAGAGTACTTGAGGCCATGGTGCTAGAGAACTCTCCTGCCTTGGCTCCCCCAAGGGCTCATGCCCTCCCTAAGGGCTCATGCCCTGGTGGGAGTGTCAGGGATGGATTTGGTGGGAGAACCAGGAAAAGTCAAGACATACTTCTTGCCCAGGCAGCAGCTGTATAACTTGGTGTCTTCCCTTATGAAGGGTCATTGGTGGACATCTTCATAGCCTGTCTCCTCAGTAAAGTGTGTGTGAGGCCCATCTCAGCCTGTGCACACCAGTCTACCCTGCTGTTCTTGTGGGAAGACTGCAGTTGAGTCTCCAAACTCAGAACTTCTGGTGTTCAGCTCTGAACCTCAGCCTCCTGGTCCAGTCTTCTGTTGAGGGGCTGGGGGTCTATAAAGCCTGGTTTCTTTTCTCTTGTCTGGAGCCCGTACTTATCTCCTCTGCCATATTTAAACGTTCTCTAGAATTTGGGCAGCGGTTGATGAAGGGCTTCGGAGAGACCCCTCAGCCCTAGTATGTGTGTTCCAGGCCTTTCCTCTCCTAAGCCTTAGGGACCAACTCACTGTCCTTTAGGTCAAAGTGGTGGCCCCTCTACCCAGCTTCTGGGTCTGCCTATGTGGTAGGCAGGCAATTGGGGGAGTAACAAGTCCTTGGCTACTGGCAAATCCAGGCCCACCCACTCATCCTTCAAGGCCTGTTCCAATCTCTTGACCTGCTTCAGCACTGAGAGGTGGCTCCAGCACCCATCAGCCTGACCCAGGTCTGGCCTTGGCGCTGGCCCCTACCTTCAACCACCCCTCTACTCTTGCCATTCTCTGTGCCTTCTGCGTCAGGCCTCTGCCCTTGTCCAGACTGACAATGCCTTAAAACTTCTCCAGGAGCAAGTGGATTCATTGGCAAGTGTAGTCTTACAAAATAGAAGACCCCTGGACTTGCTGGCCACCTCCAAGGGAGGGACCTGCCTCCATCTCAGGGAGGAATGTTGTTTCTAAGTCAATAACTCTGACCAGGTTCAACAAAACATCAAACAGACCTTAGAAAAAGCCACCACTATTCAGGGACAATTCTTGGCCTCATGGGGTGATCATTCCTGGTTCCCAACCTTATTACTCCCCTTTGCAATCCCCTTTCTTATCATTATCCTGGTACTTTCCTTTGGACCCATGTTATTAAATTTACTAAGTAAGTTTATTTCTCCTAGAGTACAGGCTATACAGGCTTAGATGATCCTACAGCCCGTTACCAGCCCCTCGACACCAGACCTGACTCATACTATGATTAGCCCTTCACACAAGCACATGGGAGAGTGATGTCCTGGACAAGCGGGGACAATGCTTCAGGAGCCTTCACTCGTTCTTCACATCTTAGTACTAGGAAGAGGGATCCCAGGAGGGCAGGGCTGTGCCTCTGCCCAGCAGGAAGTAGTTCTAGAAGAGACCTCCAATCCCTTGTCCCCAGATGATTTTGAGGATCATGTCTCTCACATGGAAATGAGGCAGGAGAATAGGGAATCCTAGGCATCTGCCTGTATTCACCTAAGCAGCTCCTCCCAGCCAAGAAACCATCCATTCATATTCCGTAAGCAACTGCTCCCAGCCAGGAGACAAGTGGGCTTCCAGCAAGATGTTCTGTTACCATTAGGATGTCTCCTAACCACAAAACCTGGAGAGGAATTTCCCCGGAGTCTGCACATGCTCAATGTATAGACTTTTGCCAGCTAGGTGACCTCTAGGAAAGAAGACTCTACTTAAAGCTTTATACCTGTGGACTGTATCTCATGCATGTACTTATAACAGGGACATGTACAGTTATACAACAATCTTCTGTCAATCAAAGCTGTCAATCATAAGAGTAATGCCCCCTTCAACCCCAGCATCACCTTAAATAGCAGCAGGAACAGGGGAATGGGGGCTTGTTCCTGCCCTGTGAAGTATTTCACTTTCAATAAATCTATGTTTCTTTTGCTACTTCTGTGTGTTTTGTCCAATTTTTTTGTTCAATTCACCAAAAACTTGAAATTTAACTGAGAGTGCAGAGTCAGCTGGATGATAACACTCGGAGGCCTGTCCTTCACAAACATCTGGCTGAGCCCAGAGTTAGTAGTACTGAAGTGAACAGGGATGTTTGGACAATCTGGGCCCACCCATGCCTTGGCTTGGACCTCAGCCTCCCCTGGGTCTCTGCTCAGCCCATGCCTCTGTCACAGAACTGTTCATGTGTGCTACAGTTGGGGACCAATTTCTGTACTCTAGTGTTGAACTCAGGGAGTCCCAGGCCTTATGAATGGCTCCAGCTGTGCATGCTCTAAAAGCCTCCTGTGTTTTCTGGAACAAAGTGGACTCCTGCTGTGGCATTGATCAAGACTTGGCTAAATCTCAGGGCAAACAAAGAAAAGATCCATACCTGCAAGGAGACAGGGGTCCAGGCCCCTCCAGGACGTCTCTGGGAGCCATTTCTGCAGGCTGTGCAAGGGTAGCACACCCCTTGGTGTCCCCACCCTGGAACTCAACCCTTCCTGAGCAGGAACTGCCTGTTTTCCAGAGTGATTGATGGAGGCAAGAACATTCCCTACAGGAAAAGAGGTGGTGGTGGTGGAGTGTCTTTTCTTCCTAAGGTAACCGTGTTTTGAGAAAGAGCTATAAGTGGTGACTTAAGCAACAGACATTTACAGCTCTTCACACTTCTGGAGGCCAGAAGTCTGAGACAGAGGTGTCAGCAGGTTGGTTCATTCCAAGGCTGTGAAGGAGGGTCCATTCCTGGTGTCTCCACACTTCTGGTGGTTTGCTGGTGACCTTTGGCCTATAACATCCCCTGATCAGTGCGTCCTCTTCACGTGGCCATCCCTCTGCATGTGTCTGTATCCATATTTCCCCTTTTTCTAAGTACATCAGTCATGTTGGATTAGCTCCACTCTAATGACCCCATCTTAATTACATCTACAATTACCCTATTTCCAAGTAAGGGTACACTCTTAGGTGCTAGGGGTTAGGACTCCAATGTATCTTTTGGAAGGGGGCATAATTCAGGGAAATGCAGAGGGTCACCTTGTTCCGTTGCCTCTTGGAGCATTGGTGCCTAGGTTGAACCAGCTGGCTTTTGGAAGCATCCTGCTGATGGGTCCAATGACAGCCA